CCACACTGTTCCTGATCAAGGCCAGGATCCATTGGCCCTCTTGGCCACCTGGGCCCCCCTGGCTCATGTTCAGCTTCCTGTCAATAGGTAAAAGTCCTGCTCGTTTCACCACAAAAAGTGGAATTTTGTTGGGATTTTTATCCTGCCTTTGGTGAATCTCTCTAGGAAGTGTTCCTGGAGCTCCTCTGCCACACTGATAGGGCTCTGGCAGAGTGTCCTCATTGTTACTGACACCAGCAGATGTGACTGACTGGCCTGGCCTGAGCCAGAAATACCCTCCAATAACCGAGAGTCATTAGAGACCAGCTCTAATTACACCCTTCGGCCTCTCTCTACCCAGAGCACATTAGCACATGTAATTGGCTCACCCTTTTAAGCTTCCTTTTGGCCATGGATTAATGGTAATTAGCCTTTAAATGAAGCTATTTCTCCTTTACAGGTTTCACCCACAGGTCTGCAGAGTGGTGAAAGGAGGAGGTGACTGTTTTAGGGGCAAGGGAACAGAATCAGAGAGTCATTAAGGTTGGAAAAGCCCTCCAAAATCATCGAGTTCCAAACACCACTAAACCACGTCCTCAAGTGCCATATCCATGTATTTTGAACACTTCCAGGGATGGTGATTCCACCACTTCCCTGGGCAGCCTGTTCCAAAGATCCAGAAGATCCCCTTCGCTGTACCAGGTCTCCCAGCCTGGGCTGAAGCCACGTGGCCTTGGGTGCCCAGCATGGGCCAACAGCCCCTCAGCCCAGTGGGATTTCTCCAGAGATGGCACCTGGCTGGGGGAGGTGTGGTGGGCAAAGGTCCAGGGGGCAAGTTCTAAAAATCCCTGCCCTGTTTCCAACAGGGAAGGGTCCTCACTGGCAGGCCCAGGGATGCTGGAGGGAGGGATGAGCTCCTGCCCTCCCCCACCTGCCCACGCAGCAGGGATTGAGCAGTTGCCCGGGTGAGGCTGCGCCCGGTCCCTCCTCCGCACCTCGCAGGAATTTCACAAGGAAACACAGCTGCTGGAAAACACCCTGTGCTGCCTCTGCTCCTGTGCATTTAGTGGCTGAATCCACTGCAGTTTTGGGGTTATCCTGAGAGAAACCAGCGGTGCCTGCACGGAGCAGGGTCAGGCATCCCGACCTGCTGCTCCGGTCCGACCGGGACACCTGGTCCTGCCCATCGGGACAAACCTGCCTCCCTGCAGCACCCGACCCCTGCCGAGCAGCACATCATCCCAGCCAGGAATGCTGGGGTCTGGGGAGGGGTCCCCAAACTGGGATTCCCCTGGGGGATGGTGTCAGCCACCCTCTGGGCCTCGCAGGGATGCTGCTGCCAGGAAATCGGGGGGATCTGGGAGCCTTAAACACCAAATAGAATCACTAAATAGTTTGGGTTGGAAGGGACTTTAAAGCTCATCCTCATCCAGGACTTCAAGGCCACGGGCAGGGACACCTTCCACTAGCCCAGGTTGCTCCAAGC